ACTACTAGACAAAACGTTGGTGATCTGAACCCGTCCAGAGGCGTCTCAAAACACAGGCCTGGTGATCTGCTTCTGAAAGGTCACAGCCTTGAAAACCTATGCAGCAGTTCTATTCTGCATACACGGGGCTGCCCCAAGTCAGAATAGACTAGGTGGCCACTAATGACACTGCATGGTGGCTAGGAGGTAGTAATGCATCTCATGTGCAGCCACCACCCACCTGTCAGTGGACGCTTGTGTGTTGTTGTGATGCTGAACAGGTTTCAGCAGAACTTACAGACTAAGATGGACTAAGAGGAAAGGCCTGGTGATCTACTTCCAAAAATCAGCCAGTGAAAACCCTGTGGATCACAATGGTCCTATCTGCAACCGATCATGGGGATGGCACAGGACCAGGCAGCATTTCGTCCTGTTGTGCGTGGGGTTGCCATGAGTTGGGGGCCGACTCAACAGCAACTTACAAAACAGGAGGTAGCAAAGCTGAATCCCAAACCTTGGAATCTTCTGCTTCCAAATTCAACTTGGGTAGTGACAACTTCATGGCAAGCATCGGCCTGGCCCTGGCTTTGCCAGGGATATTCCCATCTCCAGTGAAAGGAGAAAGAGGATGGCCACAAGGAGAACGTAGAGAACATACAATCTTCTCTTATGTTTAAGATCAATTTGTGGATGAACATCTGCTTGCTAAGTTCTCATCTGGGAGGCAGAGCTTCTTCAAATGTTCTCTTTTTCCCCCCCGAGATGGCAAGACACTCAGTATGTTGCCATTTATAGACAGAGGAGATCCTGGTACCTTGACTGTAGAGCAGTTCCAGGAGGAAATTAGGAAAGTCCATGTGTCTGACCCAGCAGGGCTGTCTCGTCTTTTCTTTCTAGCTAGGTTTCTAAAACAGTTTCAAAGATGCCACCAGAGTAGGAAATCTGCCTTCAGAAGAAGGATCTACGTGAGACGGCAAACACTCGGCAGCCGCCCCCCTTCCCACACTTTTGCTCATGGCTAGTCATCTGTCATTCTCTCACAGTCAGTCTGGGCTCCGAAGAGCCCCTCTCAGTGCAGTGCCAGGGAGATTCCATGTACCTTTTGTTGATTTTTAAAGATAAAATCCTACTTGCCACTCCCGATGCCACCCTATCTCCAAGGAGTGGTTGTTTTCAGGGTACCAGCACCTAGGTGGTGTAAGTGGTTAAGCACTCAGCTGTTAACCAAAAGGTTGGAGGTTCAAGTCTACCCAGAAGTGCCTCAGAAGAAAGGCCTGGTGATCTATTACTGAAATATCAGCCATTGAAAACCCTGTGAAGCACAGTTCTATTGTCACACATGAGGTAGCCATGAGTTGGAGTCAGCAACTGGGGGTTGGCTTATCAAAGAAGTCACCTGGCTTTTCCTCTCAGCAGTGATGGCCGGATGCCTGCTCCCTCAGGAGCAAGGCTTGAGGGCCACCTCATCTCTCTGCCATGGCTACCCCACAGTGTATGACTAAGTCAGCTCCATGGTGGGGGCATGGAGCCTTCTCCACCATACCTCTGTGTTCCCGTGGAGTTCCAGCCCCTACTAAGTGACTGAGCTGAGCAGCTCCTGACCTACCACGGCTAATGCTCTGTTAGGAGTCCCCAGCAGGAATTCATGTGGCTTGAAGGCACGTGTGGCTTAAGACACTGCCTTTCAGCTAGCAAATTTAACACTTTCCTGAGCCAGCACGTAGTGCACAAACATTTGGTTCCTTAGCAATGTGACATTCAGAGTTAAGAGTTCTTTGATGCTATGGATTTTTAGGGGTTTTGACAAGAAGTCTTGTACAAAGAATGATGTTGACAGGGAAAAAGCATACTGGGTGCAAGGCTTTTCAAAGCATCGCCAGTGCAGTGGGCTTTGATCAAGCCGGATGGCAGGTGGCTGCAGGGATGGTGTCTGGCTCTTAATCCTCAGCAGGTGACTGCTCACAAGACTCCTTGAAGTCTTCATTATTGAGGCAGAAACCCAAAAGGGCATAGAGTAAGGTGATTAACAGAAAACTTCAAAAGTGGCCCTTGGCACTTTAGCCCTTTGGCAGTATCAACAATGGGA